TAATATGAAGTTTTTTACTCACTTCTAAACCAAGAACTGTTTGATTTTCCACCGCAGGATAGAAATTTAACTCAACCATTCCATGTTTCGACAATTTGTATTTCTCTTCTATGTATGAATCATGATCATAAGAGTAACCATATCTGACTGTAACAGGATTATTCATGTCTTGTACTGGACTACCATCATGATACGTAAGCTTCACCTGAAAGCAAAAAAATAAAATATTTGTGTATTTTAAATTATAATCATAATATTATCAGCATACATAAGTAAACTTCTGATTAACAAATCTAATGAAAGGGTGCAAATGGATGAATAATCAAAAAACACAGATCATCCAAAATATTACATTCTGTGCATTTATGTTTCTTACATAACTGATATTATTTTGAGAAATAGTCTGTAATGATCACATCTTTTTGTGAACTGTTTAGACTACTCCTCTCAGAATTACATTATTTCACTATCATCTTCCTCACTCTTGCAGAAGCATAGACAATGACTGTCTGTCTGTCATGTGCTAGGAGCCCACTTCACACTTGCAACCATTCTTCAATGCTTCTTAATCAACATTTTCAAATCTTTTCATAGTACATGCCATGTCTAGAATTTTGGGCTTGCTTTTCTTCATTAGGTAAACCTTATATTATCATATTCTATATCTCAAAGAACTTTACTACATCATCAAGTTTGTGTTGCTGGATTCACCATATTCACTATAGTAGAAGCCAGCAATGTGTGGCCTGCGGAGTGTTTGGGCAACAAGCTAGAATTCAGCTCATGTATGAATAAATAAAACTAAACAATTAGGAAACATGATTGCATTTGGCATTCAGCCTTTAACCTTCAAAGGCCCAGCACGTCTTTTAATATATGGCACTGGTATCCCTAGTTGGCCCACTGTAAACTTTAAGACATGGAATGCAACACCTCATGTAACATAGCTTTGTTATGATTGTATTGGGTTCTAATCCAGACAATGTCAGTGTAATCTAAACAATATCAGTGTACTCTGGAAGGAAGATCCTATAACCATCGTAAATTTTCTTGTCAATATGGCT